CACACACACACACACACATATATATATATATATATATATATATATATATGTATACTTTTTTGGCATCCCAGGTAAACCTTTAATGGCAAATTTGTGGCCCATTAATTAAAAACCACTGCTTTATGTGAATGAAGTGCTGCATTAACCAACCGCTTAATGAAAAATGCCATCATGCTAATGATTTGTTAGCTCCATAATGTCTCGCTCTGTTGAAAACACAAATCAAACCTTGACAGAATATTATGTCAGAATCATATGCTCAGATATGCAAAATATTAATCAGCCAAACAATCTTATGTAATCTTGTTCGTTTACATCTTTTGATGTAGTTTGATCGATCAGCACAAGTATGAGGGGTAAATGAAACCTCCTGCAGTGTCTCGTCTCATAGACTTTCATTATACGTGCATGAGGTTTGGTTTTCATGTAGATGACAAAAATAGTAATTAAACCCACAGTAACTTGAGCAACACATAAAGCTGGTTTGATTACACTGCTTAAGCAGATAGATGAGCAAATAAACCCATAATAAGCCGAGGTTTGTGCCTGAGGAACTTCATTAGATCGGTCCGTTTAGCCAGAGGGAGATCTTACCGATCCTATATTTCATGAAGTGCTCTTTAACGGCTGCTTAATTATGAATGGGGACAATCTGGGGCCATTTGGAGAGCAAAACGTGCCCGTCAGGCCCCATCTGCCACAAGAGGTGTCTCTTTGATTCGCCACTTATACCGGACACTTGGTCCCACTGGGACGAGTTAAACTATCCAGCGCTGATGAGGGTAGAGCCCGTTCTCATGAAACCCAAGAATTATTTAGGTGAAATTGCTTGAACTGAACGGGGTCCGTCGGGGAGATGAACTGAGCCTTTGAATAATGAAGGGCCGTTTGGGGGAGGAGACGACGGGCGTGATCGTATAATTGTGAAATCTGTGTCAGGTGGTCGGGCCAAACATAATGAGAGTCTTTTTAAGATGGGTTGTTCTGGTATGTGGTTAGTGGAACAGGAGAATGATGTGAACTGCGTCCAAAAGTTTTGCGTCACACCAGCTAATGGTGGGTGAATTGAAAAAAAAAAAGAAAGTATTATTACTTTCACTTTTTCACTTTTAGTCATTTAGCAGACGCTTTTATCCTAAGCGACTTACAAAATAATAATAATATTATTATATATTATAAATTATATTTATATTTTATTAATTATTTTAATAATAATAATGCATGGCTGCTAAGAATTTTATATTATTTTTTTTATCAAAATAATTTGATTATTTTGTGTGTGTGTGTGTGTGTGTACTTGTGTGCCTCTCTATAGCCGTGTGTTTGTGCATAGCTGGAATGTGAATCATATTGATGCCTTCATTTCATTTTAATCTTAAATATCTGCCAAAAATGACTTGTTGATTTAGTTTGTTTGAAGTCTTTCATCTTATTTACTCCGATAAAAATTTGCAAGTCATTATCAATCATTTTATCATTATAAAAATAATGCAGAATGCATGGCTTGTAATAAAAATACATATTTAATTAAATAATTTTATTAGAATTGTTTTAATTAATATATAGCATAATTAATGGCCAGTACGAATTATAATTTTTATAATTATAATTATAATTTTTAATTAAAATAATTGTATTAAATTGTTATTTTAATAGTAATAGTAATAATAATAATGATTATTTTATGTATATATAAATTTCTTACAGCCCTGCATTATACATTACTACTTTATTTTATTATAAAAATTCTTATATTATATAATATTTTTATTAAAAGTGTAGTTTTGTTCCTATGACAGATAAATATATATATATTTCTTACAGTTTCTTACTGCATTTTTTAAATTTTATTATTGCATTGGTTTTATTAAAAATTTTATTAAAATTACAATTTTTATTAAAAGTGTATTTTTGTTTGTTTTGGCAATTGAACCCTGAAGCCTATTTGTCTTGAATTTTTAGGCATATTAACATATTTAAAAACAACAACAAAAAAATGTGGCATCCCAGGTAAACTTCTGCAGGTAAATACTGTTCGAGCTGTGGCAGATTATTAGATTTAATTTGCAAACTGCTTTTATGTCTTTGAATCACTTATGTGAGGGTCAGATTTAGTCCTTACAGCTTGATTTAACCCATGTGTTATGTTGTAGATCTTCATAAAGCTGTCTGGCTAGTTGCCGGCCAATTTCTATTCTTGTTTGGTGTCTGATGTGTTCATTTTGGATGCTGTCTGAGCCTTTATGTTTCTATTATTTTTGGATGTTGGGATATGGATGAGCTGATAACGTTTGGTCATGTTTTCTTTAACTCTAATGCCCACTATCTTTAGAGAAAGAGGTTCAGGAAGTGAAGGCTGCTCTTCAAGCGATGCTGTCACAGCTGAAGGAGGAAGAGGATGAGGAGGAAGAGGATGAAGAGAAGTATTGTGATGTAGAAGATGAGCAGGTTGAAGATGAAGAGCTAGAAGAGGAACATTACTTTAGTGACAGCTGGGAAATCTGAACAGACTCATGATTTATATTTAGGTGCCTGTGAAAGTCTGTTTTCATACTGTCATCTTGCACTGAGCTCTAGCACTTAAAGAGAATAGTTCATCTTTTTCTACTTTCATCTACTTGCCCACATGTAATTTCAAAAGCATTTGCCCTATGTTTACTCTATGCTACGTTTTAGTCTTTTGTTGAGGTTGCCAGTACAAACCACTATCCACTAGGGCTGTAAAAAAAAAAATTTAATTTCGAATGTTCGCCGAATAAAAAAAAAAAATACACATTCGAATGCAAAAACGTTGATCTAGAGGGACGTCTATCAGCATTGCACTCGTGTCTCGCACAAGAGAGCGGCATGTTTAGAAAGCCATGTAAAATTAATGCAAGTTCAACTTTTAAAAAACATGTCTAAAGACGTTATGGCGGTTTTTCCCCATCCCACTGTATCTCATGTTTTTAAATGAAGACAGTAGCCTACTCTTTGTGA